CTCAGGAGTGATTTTTTTCCCACTATGTCACACTGGCTTAAGTCCTGACATTTAGTAGGACTAAGTTCTGGCCCTGAAATTTTACTTCCTCTTTATTAATAAAATGAGAACAGAAATAATAGGCGAGCCAACAGGCCACAGAGTAGAATGATGATAATTACAGCTAGAAAAATCTCAGTCTTACTTAGGTTCTATTAATAAACCAGGTTTTTGCCATTGCTCTATTTTTGATTAACTGATTTAAAATTTAAGTTACCTTTAAAGAAAACAACAATGAAGCAAACCACAGGTTAATTAAATAGCACATGACGCAACATATTTCCTTCAAAGTCAGTTTACTTTAATGAAACCTTACCTCTCACCTTCCTTAATGGACAGCTTAGTCCACAATGGAGTCCTGGAAAATAAAAGCTATTTTTATTACCCTACATTGTTTTGTGCTTATCTTCATATGGAATGTAGGTTGCCTTAAACAGACAGAAAGTTTGTCACAGTGTATTCTTCCAAAGTGAAAGTTTTGCCAATTGCATTCCCTGAGTGAGCTTTACATGCGGAAGATAATATGCTATCTTTTTCTTTCATTGTGAAAGTCACCTTACCCATCAAAAAAGTAAGTATGTGAGAGGTTTCTGAAATGTGACCTTAGTAGTGGGAGGAAAAGAATCTCACCCTAGACCAGGCTCAGAGCTGCAGTACTCATTTGGAGCATGAAGAGCGTTAAGTCTTAAGAGTTGCCTTTTGGTAGCTGGGGTGCTTACCTCAGAGAAAAGATCTTTTTGCCTCTTGTTCATTAAGGAGCAATAACTAACGTGGGCCAAAATTTCAGTGACGACAAGACAATAGTAATGTTAAGATTAGTCCATAAGCTGAGCTAAATTCCAAGCTTCCCTCTTTATCTCAACCTGCTAATGTGAAAGAAAACATTTTATTTCACCAGTAATTTTTAGAGAACAAAACCGTTCCCTGAGCATCTCTAACAAGCAGTCAGTTACCTCAGCACTCTAATTTAAGTGCAAAGGATATTCTAAACCACACATCCTGCAGTCTGACCAGGTGCTCTCCAGCCTTCCTGTGATTACCTACCCTTTTCCCCAGCTCTTGAAATACCTTCCCCGGAACACAACAGGACTAGAATAAGGAGTTACACAGACTTGTTAGGTACAAAC